GGCATGTTTTCCATATCCTCTCTAGTGAAGATATTGATGACATCATTTGCCACTTTTTCATGATTGTTTGTGCAAACAGTTAGTAAATGTTAGTCTATACTGTATAACAAAAAGAAAATTACATGGTGGCTTAAAGATATGAATTTTATTTTCTTGTGTTATAAAATAATATTTTTACTCACTCGCTGTGCTTGTTCGTAAAATATTGTTTTTACCCCTCAAAAATAAAATTTATATCTTCACACTGCCATGTAATATCTTCTATGTAATATTACATTCAACATGTGATCACTTGAAACTGTCCCTTTTTGCAGAGGTCCTACTTATTCCAGAACAGGCCTCTTACACCTCCCCGATATCTAAAGCAAGATGAGTACTCTAAAGAACTTGGTGGTCAGGTAAGTCACTGTCCAACGGCTTTCTGTATTGCTTGTAATTTGAACTCGCCTTGCATCGATACAAAGATCAGTAGCGCAAACATTAGAACCGCTTTTGTTCAAGTGATACTTCCATTTTGCTGATCAATAGTGATATGAATTCTTTCTAGGTACTTACGAAACACGAGAAGCTTTCTAAACTGAAAAAAGAACAGGAATTTCTTGAAAGACTGGAGCAGGTTCAGCTGGCAGAAGAGTAAGTTAACGAGGGGTAATAGAAAGCTAGAATCGCCTAATTTAATCAGTTTGAAGACTACTAAGTTCAAATTTAGACATTTTCGAAATGCCCGTTTGGTGGCGAACACAAGTACAATACCATAAAAAAATCGCTTATGTTTCATTGTATTGTCTTATGCTGTGTTGAACTTGACAGGTGCACGCACAGGCGAAACTAAATTTACACTCTACCATTTCAGTTTGGCCTTACAACGGGAACAGTACTTGAGAGAGAAGAGAATGGGCAGCGACGCTTATCGTAAAGCGCTGGATGCACAGGTAACAACATCAATTGAAACTTCTTGCTTCGTTACTGTCGGGGTAACAACGAAACTCAAAACAGGAAATTGAAAGACACTCACAATTTAGATCCTTTTCTGAACTTCTATGCCTTTTGCAGCTTCTCTTGATTTTATTCCCAGGTCTGTTTCGGTAGTGTATTTGTAGAGATGGAAGTCTTGACACAGAATTGAAGATTCTGAAAAGGGTGACTTGAGTTCAGTGTCGAATTGTCGTGCAGACAACAAGTGACGCTAACCATCACATTAGAAACGCTACAGGAAACAAATCATGGGTATATCAAGGAACTCATAATTGGTAGAATTTTTTGTTCTCAATAATTGTTCTCCAAAATGGAGCCATTAGATTTAGATTTTGTCTTGAGAGAGAACTAGTGGGCTATGTAGTGTGCGTGCTAAATAGTCAGACATGCAGGCAGATTGACTGTTAAACCGAGAAGAAGGCAGTCAGAAGTCGGGCAGACAGACAGAGAGACAGATAGACAGGCAGACAGACGGACGGACAGACGGACGGACGGACGGACAAACAGACAGAAAGGCGGGTAGGCGGGTGGGTGGACAGACAGACAACTATTTGTTTGGTAATTCATATAACACAACTTGGTGCGATGGAACTTGTAACGTTTCTGATCAGGTGAGGTAGTGTCGTGATAACAGCTACGTTATTCAAATGAATAAGCATCAAAAAAAAATACAGAATTTCCTAAATTGGGAAAAGAGGGACATCTTAGTAAGGATAACGTTTTTAACTGTAAACTGTTACCGAGTGCTGCTTTTGTTCAGATTGAGGTCAGGAAGACTTTTACTTGTACGCTGCGTCGACCGCCTGAGTTCTTACGTCTGCCCAAACCCCAGATTATTGTGCCGTTCTCGCAAACGGCAGAGTTGCGTCTGCGCGGAAGTCCAGGAGGAAGAATGGTAGAGTACTACAGTTTTGTTAGACAGTTCTAGGTTGATAGTGTTAAAAGTTAGGTTACTAGGTAGCTTTACAGTTTACCAGTGGCATTCAGCTGCCATGGTTTTCAATCTACTTAGTTTAGTTAGTAGTCTTACCAAAAAGTTTTCTCAGAAATTTGCTAGAAGCGTGTTTGGTGTTTTGCATTATTTGCTGATTATTTTGACTTCTGTTTCTCCACATCCTTCCTTTGTTTTTGCCTTTTATTTTACTTTTTTTGTTGTTATCGTCATTTCTTTAAGAATTAATTTTCCTCTCCATGTAGTTAAGATACGTGCTGTCGATAGGGGTAATTCTCTCCCCGGATTAGGCTGAAGGCCTTTGAGTTGGCTAAGCGATTGGCTGAAAAAACCCGTACCAATTTGTCATCCAATCAGCGTGCTTGTAAACGTTTTCCCGCGCTTTCTGCCGTCTGCATGTATTTGCTTCGAGCCTTGATTGGTTCACTGGATTGTCCGTGTCCTTCGTGATTGGCCAGAGTGATGACTTTGGTGTTGGTTGTGCGACACTCGGTTAAAAACCGCTGTAGCATCATTATACCTTGTGTTTTCAGGTGCGCTTCAAGCCCCTTCCTATTCCTGCACTGGAGCCAGACTCTAAAGCACCTATATTCGGTGTTCTTGATGCGACAGAGGAGAAATTGATTGACAGAAAGAAACGAGCGCATCAGTTGTATCAAGAGCAGCTGGAAATGGTGGCACAGAGGAAGAGGGATGCTATTCTTAAAGATCTACAGAATCAGAAAGAGGAGTCGGATATGCTTGAAAGGACTCGTAGAGAGTAAGTTCTTTAACCTGCACCTGCTTAAGATGATAAGTTGCTAGATTTGGGCGAGCTTTCCAGCGGGTACCGTTCAGTCCCTAATTTTCCGTTAATATCACGGGACTGAGATATCCTTTAATGTTAGATCACTAAATTACCTACTTTCATAGTTAATTGTTCTGGCGTATTGTCATACATCTCGTAATGAAAGTTTTGGCAATTTGGTGAGACATTGACACATCCCTTATAGTTGTTCTCATTTTAAGAAGAAATTCGATATTGCCCGCGTTAACGGAGAATAAATTGAAAATTTATCTCGCGTTAACGAATCCGCAGCGGCGGGTAAAATTAGACTACGAGTGGTCCCTCTTTCACTTAATCCGTCGTGCGTGACGCGAAAGAAAACTGCGGGATTTCCGGCCATTTTTTTTTCTCAGTTTTCTTTCGCGTCACGCGCGTCGAATCAGGCGAAAGAGGGACTACTCGTAGTCTAGGTAAAATTAACGCCAAATCCCATCTGTCTAGAGAAATAATATTTGCACTTCTTTTAGACTGAAGTGGTAATTTCCTCTTGTGCCTTTCTTTTGTTTTTTCGCAGCATCATTTTAGATCGCGCACTTCGTCATCAAGAGCGTGTGGACGCTCGTCGCTCCCTTGAAGACTCTTGGGCCGCTAACGTGTGTCGTAAACATGAGCTGGAACTTGAGGAACGGCGGCGTGCCCAGAGTCCTGGCATGCTGATACATGAACAGTGTGATAAATATCGCCGGTGCAAACAGTGCGGCAGACGACCTCACAACTGCGGTGAATCGAACGTATGGAGTGAATCTCGGTACATCCCTGGCTCAAGGCTCATAGTTTAGAGCCCTTCTTCCTATCTGACGGATTTTCTTTGAACAATTTGACTGATTGACTACAAAACGGAATAAAAGAAAACTACCAAGGCAATTCGCCTTATTAACCCCTCAGGAAATTTGTGGCAATTATTTATTGTTGTTATATTATTTGTATAATTGTATAGAAACAATTGTGAGAAGGATATTGAACCGCATCTGTTGGACAAAGCGAGGCGAAAAATTACTTAAAATCATTTCAGCTTATCTAGAAGTTCTCCTCTCTTCGTTCATTTTGTTTCAATTCTTTTCTATGAATTTTTTCCTCAAAAAATCAACAGAAAATCTCGCGTTTTGTAACTTAAACAGTGAACATTTCCCTTTGGGAATGAACGTTACTTGTTATAAGTGCCAGTTAGTGTGAATTTAACCTCAGAGTGAATTAAAAACACAAACACGCTGGGCTTCGGGTTCAAATGGCACAGCCTGCGTAAGATTATTTCGAGTAATCTTTGGAAGCAAACATCACCTTTAACTTGCAACTTAATTGAGGGAACTTTATTTCTTAATTCTTCACTAATCTAATGAGCACCGTGTGATGAAAAGTGTGTTCAGCAACTCTACACTGCTTGAATGCAATTGTAAATACTGGCTAATAAACCTATCGTTTGATGAATACTTTTGTTTTCTGGGTCATTAAAAATCACCTTTGGATAAATACATGACGCTCACTTTTCCAACGAAATACTCTTTATGAGCATGTACAAGGAAACACTTTTCTTTGGTTCCTTGCGCCCGGTACTCTCCTCCCCATGATTCCCTGCGCTCCTCTTCACTAGTTAATAGGCCACTTCCGAGTTGCCTTTTGCCTCTACGTCAAAATGAGTCTTCGTGCAAAACCATTCATATGAAAATGTGTTCCTTCTATAGGTTCTTTTCATGGACATCAAACTCGTTTTCATATGAAAGGTTTAGCACGAGGACTCCTATTGAACAGAGTCGGAAATGACCTAGTATTATATTGAGTTTACTATCGCACGGGCGACTGTGAAGGAGGCAGGGCCCAATACTCATTGTTGATGTTCAGATTCATTGACTGGAATTGATATCGAACTGCCTTGACGTCGTATCATAACTCTTTAGATACTTCAACGTTAGACAGGTAAAAATCGAGTAGTTTACTCAACGCTGAAAAGGAAGGGATACACATGCAAACAGGGATTAACAAAAAAATCGACAACAGCACGATGCATGTGTAGCTCCGGGAAGGGAGGTGGGTATGTACTCAACAAAGTTTTTTTTGTCGAGCCTTCGCCCAGAGGTCCAACCCGTAACCCTTTCATATACCATTTTGACAGAAACGTTACCCCTTTCGTATGCCTTTTATCGAAGAAAGCAGCCCTTTCACATGCCTACTTAAGAACACGTTCTTTGTAACGTTGCGGCTCAAAGGGAAAGGCCTTCAAAAACTTTCAGGTAAATAGGAATTTTTGTAAGTGCTTTTTAAAACAGTTTTCTAGTTGGCTTTTTAGCTAGGGGGTGTTTAAACTTCATGCAAAAACAATGGAGTGTCATTCCAGTAATGGTCCCTGAAAATAGTTGGGCAAAATTTCCTTCTGTTTATTTGGATTTAGGTGTTGTAAGGAAAAGTACTTCACGTAACAATTGTTACACCGTAATTATGTTGCTTGCATCCAAGGTGCCAATTTTTTTTCTTTTCCGGACAAACAAACCCTGTAATGTAATGACAAACTTTAAACTGGTTTCGTTATTAAAAAGTTCGGGGATTGAGCAGTCTTCCCGCAAGCTAGCGAAAAGTGGTATTTCTAAGGCTATAGAACAAATCGAAACAAAGAAAAGGAATCACACAGCACAACTTAGGACGAAAGGTTTTTTTGGACACAGTGGAAAGGCAGGATGTATTTTGAGCATGGATCGCATCATACCATTAGAGTTCAGATAAACACTACCTAATGCAGCATATGCGGTTTTGCCAACTTCTTTCCCAGAAAACCTGGGATCGACTCAGGTGCATCACTCGTCATTTTCGTTCCATAACCCTTTTCACTTCTTTTAACCCGCGGGGCCTTGACAAGAGAAAACGAACATTCTCGTCCCCAAAGCCCTTTTCGCTTCCCTTCGCCGGTGGTGCCTTGACACGATACGACGGACCCTTTGTGTCCCTTGCGAGGCCCCGCCGGCTATGAGAAGCGAAAAGGGCTATGGAGATGAGAATGATCATACGTCGGCTGTTATGAGTGAAGGGGATTTGAGGTTCAGTTTTCTCCTGTTGTTAGCGCTAGTCAACATGTTCGTTTGAACGACGTCTTTGAATCTGGAACAAGGTGAAGTCCTTTGTCTTTCAGTCCACCAGTCAGCGGATACCTCAAGTTTCTGCTGTAACTCTCTGAGCTGTGATGTGGGTGAAACGCTTATGTAATAGGACACCTGAGGGAAGATATGTAAAGTTATTAAGATTTCATACATACACCTTACTTGACGGGTTTTGCAGGAAACGCGAAGAACGTTTTACAAGCTGCGTTATTGCTCGGTAAAATACGAGCAAGAAGTAAAATGTTCGCTTGTTATTTTGCTCAGCAACGAACAGCACACCGCAATTGAAACTGCGCAATAGCGAAATAATAAAATTATGAGGCGTTTTGCAAGTCAGGTTTGCCTTTTTTCCCTTAAAAGAAGAACCTAAGTAGTTTCAAATACCAAAAAGTTACTAATCAATGAGAACTTGAGTGATAGTAGGTACTGGGCTAAGATTAAAGCGCTTTTGCAACGTAAACAAGAAAATGAAAATCAGTGACGTGAGGAAATTCTCTTTCCCTTGCTCCTGCCTCGATTAGTTCTGGAACTAGCTAAGGAGGCAATAATTTTTTGTAATTATGAAAGAAAAGAAAAGGAAAGAAAAGAAAATTTGAAAATTGAATTTCCATGGTAACGACCTTGACAGATCACTGTTTCTATTATAGTGAAGTTACTTTTTTCAGCGTTTATTATTCGGAGGCAAAAACCCATCAACAGTCTCATATAATGCACCATTCTTTTTCAGTTTTTCACTGTACCTCTCTCTGTGTGAATTTCAGTTGTAAAACTCCGCTCTTCTCTTTATTAACTGACGCATGATCAAGCCGGAGCACGTCTTGAGGTTCTTCATCCTAAAGTGGAATCAAGGGAATTATTTAAGGCAGAGTCCACACTACGCTGGAGAACTTTGAAAACGCAGCTTTATTTCTACGGCCTACCCGTCCACGCGTTAATCCGTCACGAATTAAAAGGGAACTTTTCGAAAACGCTCTTTAAACCGGAGGAATTTGAAAATCCCGGCTTTCTGTTGTAGTGTGGACAGAAAACATTTTGAAAGCGGAGCTTTTTGAAAATCATGACATCACGATAACCATGAGATTTCTCTGCCAGAGTTTTTCTACAAAAGAAATCCAAAATGATCGGTGATTGTTGCGTTTTTAAATTCCGCCGGCGTAGTGTGGACGGAAAACATTTGATGCGTTTCTAGAATGAAACCTTTATTTTCAAACTTCTCTGGCGTAGTGTAGGCGGGGCCTAATCTGTCGTTTGCTTGCAACGCAATTATGAAAAAAATTCCTTCAGTATTCAGACGGGACTCATATTCACCGGAACAACCGAGATTCTTACTTTTTTTCCGAGTTTCCTACTGTCTCCCACCTTTGTTGCTCAAGGTTTTTTCTCCTCAAAAGGGGATGAAATATTCACTGGTAATAAACCGATGAATACATGTAAAATGACCATACCGAAAAAGAATAATTTGGTTTGAAAAACACAGTTGAACCTCGCTATTTCGAACTCTCGGTGGAAACAAAAAATAGCTCGAAATAGCGGGAGTTCAAAATAGCTGAGAGTAAATGACTGAAGGGCAGATCCAAGGGAAACCGTTTTCATTTAAAAAAAACGGGGGATTTAATTCGAAATAACTGGGTTCGAATTAGCGGGGTTCAACTTTAGTTCGTATAACTGGGAAAGAAATTAATTCCGTCTTTGGAACATTTTTCTATATTTTAAAATCTTTGCATTGATTGTTCTGTGGCAATCTGCAAGTAACGCAACATACCTTTTCGCTGTTGAAAATAAACAAAAAATTATCTTTCAACAGAAACACTTGTGGTGTTGTTTCTTCTAAGGATGGACCTCCACACTGACAAACTTAAAAAAAGTTGCAAAGAACAAATTAGATACAATTAGTCACTTTAAAATGCCTAAAAAGGGTAAGATAAATCAAACCAAACTACTTACATTTGATCACTTTGTTTTTACCATTAGCGTTTTGCAAAGAGTTTGCATCTAATTTCTAGAGAAAGAACGGGTAAGTCAATATGTTTAGATCACCAATTCAGTTTGGGAATGACTGTTTAGTAGTTTAATCAATAGCTGGATTTGGTTCTCACTCCAGTCCCGTTTAAGTGCTTTTTGCCTAGCTCGTTACATGGAAATCGGTCAATCAATCCATTTGACTGTCCTTAAAAATAAAACGTCCTTCCGGCAGTCAGTCAGTCAGTCCATAGTTATGGTCAGTCAGTCAGAGAATAAGTCAGTCTGTCAGTAACTTAGTCTATCGATTAGTCAGTCATTCAGTCAGTCAGTTCTTCCGTCCGTCTATCCGTCCGTCAGTATATCTGTCCGTCCGTCCGTCAGTCAGAAAAGAGGTCAGTCCGTCATTCAGTCTATCAATTAGTCAGTCAGTCATTCATTCAGCGAGTCAGTCAGTCAGTCCTTCCGTCCGTCTATCTGTCCGTCCGTCCGTCAGTCAGTCAGTCAGAGAGTTGGTCAGTCATTCATTCAGTCGGTCAGTCACTTAGTCAGTCAATCAGTAAGTCAGGCAGTCAGTCCTTCCGTCTGTCCGTCCATCCGTCAGTCAGTCAGACATTCAGATAGGTGGTCAATAAATAAGAAGTTTACTTACCCCATAAAGTGTTTCTGCAAGCCTCTTGTCTGTAGTAAAATATTTGAAAAGTTGACGAAGTTGTTGAACATGTCGCTGACGACGATCAACCTGTCAAATAAAACGCAAGCTATATTAGAAAGCTACCAGAAGGTGACATTGTTAACAAGAAGCCTGTATCTTTGCAGTTACTGCTTTTAATAGCGTGATAGTAGTTGGAGGGTAATCTAAGAGGGCAGCTGATCAGACGTAAGTCTATATTGCACGATAGACCACCTGTCATAATGGAAGATTAAGGCCCAGGTCAAACGTCGAACTTCAATCTTATGAGCCGAACTAAACTGATCGATTTAAGTTCATGATAAGTTCGATGTTTGACTGAACTGAATTCGTCCGACTAAATTAAGATCGACCGGTAGGTCGGTTCTATCCGCGTGAAGCAGAAGACGTATAGAACGTGTTAGTCGATCTGAAGTTGAATTAAGTTCGACGGTTAACCCAACGGTCGAGCTTTACCCGTTTGGATCGACTCAAATTGCAATTTAGTTCGTATCATGTGAATTTCGACGTTTGATTCGGGTCTTAATGTATCAGAGAGGTTTCAGCTACCTGAGTTTGAAGTCGACTGAGCTCCGCTTCACATTTGTCATGCTTCCGTTTTAAAAGCTGTTTACAACCAAAAAAACAAAACACTGTGGTCAAAACAGGAAGAGAGCAAAAAGCTATTTGATCCGTGCAGTAACATGAGTTAAGGCAAAGGGAATCTAAAAATAGACATGTCAAAGATTTGTGAGACCCTCGTTATATTGTCATTTATTACTTACGTCTCGCTCATGCGTGATAGCCTCTTTTTGAAGAACCATGGTTGTTTGTTTCCTTGAAGTTGCCGAGAGTTTGTTTTCAAGTTCATTAACTTTCTCAGCGTATTCTTTTTCCAGTATCTAGAGATAAGACACAACTGTAACATGAGTTTCATCAAACAATGCAGAATGAATAACTGTGTTTACCGTTCACATGATGATAGATCTTTTCATGGAACGAGATTAAAATTTCACATTGCACTCGAGTGCATTTCACGATTAGAAATTCTAAGCTACACACCTCCTTCTCCTTCTTCAAGCTGTTTATTGTTATCTCTTGATTTTGTATTGTCGCTTGAGAATCAGTTTCCATCGCTTTCATGTCAGCTAGTTGACTTCTAAGCAGTAAGTTCTCTGCTTTTAACAGTCGCAGCGTCTCTTCACAACCAGTCTATGATGGAAAAAGAAATTAGAATCTGGCTGGTTTAATGGGGAGAAACCTTTAATTTTTAACCAGGACTCCTTGGCCTTGGATAAAAACTCAATCGTCCAAAAGAGCATGTGTGAGGGTCGTGACCCATAATCCCTCTTGGCCCAAAATTGTAGCTCCCATAAACCCTTGGAGTATTGCAATAAACGAGAACGCACATGGTCGAAAGTTTTTTTTTTGTGTGTGTGTGTGTGTGTGTTTTAGTTCGCTGTTTCTCTTTCGAGACACTGTCGAGATTCCCTTTAAAAGCATTATAGGCGAGGGAGTAACACACGACGATAAGGCATGGTCTGAGATAAGTTGCATCTGCAGAGTTCTGTCTGGCTTGAGAAAGTAATATTCGGAGTATAATCAAGAACTAATGAACTAAACTTGGGGAATAATGAGTGTGTACTTAAATCCGGAACATTAGGTTATAGCAGAAGCATATCACCTTGTTCAAGGTGATATGCTTCTGGTTATAGTTATTAGCAAAACCTGGAAGACGCGAAAACGACTGACACTGTTGAATGATACCATGTGAACAAGATTGAGTGGAATAGTAGTGACTAATAAGTCTATATCGCTGTGTAGCTGAAATTATAGTGAATGCACAACTGTGCTCCAAACAAAATAAAAAAAACAACCCTTAACAATAGTTTAATATATACAATGTGCATTCTCCTTGAGTTTAGGAACAATACTCTCATTCCCTTTATTTCAGTTACGGTCGAACCTTTCTACAACGGTCACCCTAGTGGCAGAGTTTACTGGCCATCTTAGAGAGGAGGCCATTTTTGGGAGGTTAAAACGAGAGCAAATCTCCCAAATGGGACGAAAATATGCGGCCGGCGTAGAGAAGTGGCCGCTGTAGGGAGGTGGTTAAGGTTAGAAGTGACGGGTATGGTTGATGGAGCTATGTCACGGTTTGTGCATCTTGAGAAGTTTGGTTTGGTCGTTTGTAATCCGTGTTAATCTTTTCCATCCTTAACTATCCTTGTTCCTTTATAATTTATTATCGTCTGTTTGGTGTTTTTGTATCTAAGTTAACTACTATTTTCATGTTGTTCCAATTCAAAGGTAATTTTGTACGCGACTAAAATAACTCAAAGTACCGTGACTGAGCTTCTTCAATCGTGATACGTACGAGATGTTTGTTTTCGTCCTCCAGTCTCAAAGCTTTCCTTTTAAGAATCTCCATCTCTCTTAGACTCTCTTCTAACTTCCTGCGAACGTCTTTAAATTCCTCTGACATCTCTTTTCTCACTTGCAGCAGGACATTGCGTTCTTCTTCGGCAAATCGACATCTCAAAAGAAAAATTCAATTGCTGTTTGACAAAATTTACCTTCGATAAAGTATTATACAAATTAAAATAATGAAAGAGAACAGAGTTATTGGCCTTCAACTGCTTCAATGCATTTTAACTGATGATACACGTATTTAACAATTATTGGACGAGGTTGAGCAAAATATCGTGATTTGTCAGCGGCGAACAGCCGGATCAATTATTTGCCGAAGCTGAAGGCTGAGGCATATAACTGATCTGCGAGACTAGGGCAAGAGAGTGAATTTCATCTAGTTCTACCAAGTGCAAGATTATCGCAGTTATACAAGCCGCGCCAGCTTCAGTAGGCATTGCAAAAATATAACCTACAAAAAAAATATTAAAAAATTCAGGTTTGAACGGGACTGTCATTTAGTCCACAAACATATCAATTATAGGTCCGCAGTACTTGCTAAGAGCGGTGTTGAGTTCCTCTGTAAGCCTAACAGTGTCCATATCTGTAACAGCATAATCCAGCCCTGGTATGGTATGAAATAAGTTTGCCATGAAAGCTAGGTTTAACCGTGGATTTCCCTGAAAAAAAAAATCAAATTTTGGTGTAGCAGGCTACTACAGATAGTTTTTCCTCCGTTTTTTTACACCACCGGAGGCAAGTGACGATCAGAAATCATTGTCATGACGACATAATTGATCATAGCAGTTATATGCACAGATCAAGCAGCTATGAAACTAAAGCCTGAAAAAAGATTCAGGCTTGAACGGGATTCGACCCCATAACCTCTGTGATACCGGTGCAGTGCTCTACCAACTGAGCTATCAAGCTAACTGGGAGCTGGTCAAGTTGTAAGTTCGTAATATACCTGTAGATACTGAAGAATCGTTATTTGTTACGTGGCTAAGATAAGGTATCCACAATTACCTTGACAAGTTCGTGGGGGGTTAGGTACTTCCTACAGCCTATTAGCTCTGCCGCAGTAAGAACTTTCTTTGCTCTTATGAACAAGTCTTCTTCATCCAAAGGAGAAAGCGTACATCTGTTCATGAGGTCAACATTGAGAATATTTTAATGTATGAGTGAAATCCACCCTTTTTAGCATAAAGTATCTATGAACGACAATACACGTTTGATAATATTTTCTATAGTTGTAGACTTTCGTTTGATATATTTCTGTCACAAGTTATTTTTATGACGTCTAAGATGACCCCAAAGCAGCTAGAATTTTCTGATAGCTTCAGTTTAAATCCTATCTAAGTTTAACAGCGCATGATTTAATCTCTTATATTCAATTGAGTCCGGGTTCTCGGTGCTCTGTTACAGAAGGAGTTCTATTTTATTGTCACCAATAGGCACACAGTCTGTAGATGTGTCGGGCAGAATATCTACACGTATCAAAAACGGACCAAAGAGAATAACGCTGAATTAAATCTAACCTTTCTGGAGCCAACTGGTTTAGAAGATGACAGTATATTACAGAGTCCTACACGAGGAGAAGAAAAGGCAAACATCAACTTTAAGAAAGAATCAAAGCATTAAAAAGAAATTATTGTCAAGAAAAACAGGAGATTACACTGGAGAGAAAAAATTGTGAAACAGGACGTGTCAGTAAATGTCAATGAATGTAGAAAATGGCAAATGAAATTCCTTTCCATTATGAAGTCATGACAGTGTTCTAATGTTTTTACGTGATGTATTTCAGTAAATATTTGGTTTCTGTTCTTCTTCCATAAATTGCTACGTACCTTTAAACTGCTGTCAAAGTCTCTCATCTCTGGGCCTCGGTAATTTGTGTGCCTTAGATGATGATTTACCCATCTTATGATCAGTTCTTCTGGAGAAAGCTTCAGTGATTATATCAAAGTCAGTCTGGTTAATTTTTGTGCAAAGAATAGATATTATATTGAAACAAAAACGACCATGTAACAAAGTGGTATTTTTTTTCAGTCTCAAGGCAGTGAAAAATAGAAAAGAAATCGACATTACCTTGACAAACACGGACCAGTCTTCACTGGATTTGCGCAATATCGTTAAGTTCGGATGTTCTTCGACATTTACGTGAGACAGCAAACCAACCTGAAATATTACATATAATCGAAAATCATAAACTACTCCAAGGTTTAGGGCAAAACCTATCTTATTGGGGCTGCCACGAAACAGGGCTTTTGTTCAATCTCGGAAGTTAACACGCGTAAATCAATTACTGAAAAACAACCATTACAAACGACAAGCTTCGCACAGCTCTGAAATTCTCCCCAGGATATGGGGTCGAATTTCTTGTATTGTAATGTCAACAGTATTTTAAATTTTTGTTCCCAATTATCGCTTGAAACGAGCGAAAAACAAGTTTATTTTACAATAAAACAAGTAATCCGATAGATGACATTCACTTTTGCAAAATATCACCGCATTTATGGAACCAGAGAAAACCTGCATGAAGGAGGCAGGACGAGTGAGCACATGCCGCAGTTAAAAATGAGTATATGTGTTCAACAGGTGCTAAAACAAGCTAAAACATAATGCCAGAACGAGTCGTAACCATACAGGTCTTAAACTTACCTTGATAATTTGCCAAAGAAGTTCCAAGACGACAGACTCCTGGTAAAAATATGTTGATCATATTAGTCTATACTGGAGCATGAATGAATGATCTTTAATTTTAACACGGTACATAATTATCAAGCCAAAAAACTGGTACACTGTATCAAACAAGATAGAATGTAAGTTTCTTCGGCACTTAGTGCCGTAAAGAGAAAATAAAAATTATCATGATGAGCTATTAATAAAGACAAGGTTCTTGGGGAATCAAAAACCACAAAATAAGAATTTCGTCAGGACTCGATCTAGAGCATTCTCTAGATGTTTAGCCATAAGAAGATCTATCCGTCCAAAGATAACCGGACGCGGCTGAAGTTATGTCACCACAGATAAAGGCACATCAACTGCCTTCTTTGGACGAAAAAACTGATAGAAAAGCAAGCTTTTAAACCAAGTCAAGACTATATACTACCTGACCTACTTGTAAATATGTGCAAAACTGACTTAGACACAGCCCATACCTTTCCACTCCACAAATCCTCTGCGTTAATGTTCTGAACTTCAACACCAATGTGCTGCGCTCCCTGGATAACAAGATTCTGATTTTCCAATGCTTGATGTATATTCTTTACTCGTTTATTTATCTTTATGCAGGGTACGGTTCCTCTTCGGATGCGGTTTAACAGTTTACTAAAAAAAAAAAAGAGACAAAGGAATACAAATAAAATCTTAGAACGACACAAATGACATACAGTATCTTCCCTTATTTTTTTTCTCCAGCTTCTCAGCGGTCCGGGATCCTAAATCAGCCCTACAAATTCCGCAAACAGTATAGCTCTCAAAACAGAATTACACTAAGGAGGAGGCAGCGTGGCCGAGTGGTTAGCGCGCCGGACTTGAAATCCAGAGGTCCCGGGTTCAAGCTAAGTCCAGCTCTGACCACCAAGCTGGAATTATTTCTCAGTAGACCCTAGTTCAACTTCTCGGCCACCACTGCGAATAGCCAACCGGTCTGCTTCCTGCCAGTTGAGATTTTTAACCATGTTATGTTCATTTGCTTTATTTGTTTCATCATTTGGTTTCATTGGCCCTGAAAAGCCCCATTGAGGGAGTTTTTATTCATTTATTAAACCACGGTCAAAACAGAGCCAAAACACGGCAAACAAAGGTCAAAACAAAGTCAAAACACGGTAAACCACGGTCACAACAGAGTGAAAATACTATAAACTACGGTCAAAACAAAGTCAAAACGCTATAAACCATGGTCAAAACACGGTAAACCACGGTCAAAACAGAGTAGTCAAGAGCATAGTCAAAACATGGTAAACCGAGGTCAAGACGGAGTCAAAAAGATAGTCAAATCACAGTAACCCATTGTCAAATCACAGTAAACCACCGTGAAAACAGAGTCAAGAAGATAGTGCAACACGGTAAACCATGAACAAAACAGAGTAAAGAGATTTGTGTTTGAGGAAAACTCAGGCAGGGAAATCACGTGATTATTGTGACGTCATCTTTTTTCGAAAAGCTCCGTTTTCAAAATGTCCTTTGTCCCCATTAACACGAAAAGCCAGCGTTTTCAAATTTCTCCGGTTTGAAGAGAGTTTTCGAGAAGCTCCGTTTTTTCGTGACGGATTTGTGTGGACGGTTGTTTTTACCGTAGCAATTAAATTTCTTCGGTGTAGTGCAGACTGGGCCTTGCATTGGATTCATTTGTGAGTAGGGTAAGTGTTGTGACACGATTTCTGCACGTGCCACATACAGTCCTACAGAGAATGACACGGATCACGTGTTGTTTACCTTTTATTGCCATACGTTATAAAGTTGTTTCGTTCACTCACCAAAACAGTACGCCATTTTTTTGCGCTTGGTATAGCCTCTGTGGAGGTTTAATCGGGAGGCAGTCAAGATCGCTGTCCCGAGCCAAGGTGCAATTAACGTAACTCACCAAAGCTTCCAGCTGCAAATGAGAAAAAAAATCATGTTTTCA